GCATTCTTTGTAAGTGGGCAAACCTGCAAAATCAGCAAGGGCTCAAATATTTATTTCCCCCACTGTACATTTAATTTCTTGACTTGTTTCTATACACTTCCTTGTTTAATCTGAGTGTAAAATAACAGCAGAACCTCTACATATGAATTTAATTTGTTCCAGGACTGACTTTGTATGCTAAAATATTGGTGTGTTGGTTCAAATCTCCCTCATCAGAATACACTGTAATTCCTAGAATTGGTTCCCAAAATAATTAATGGAAATTATAAGTTTTCACTGTCTTTGGGAGTTTGGGAACCTTTGAATTATTCAATTTTTTTTTTAATAATTAGAATAATTTGAAAATAATCATTTGAAATATGACTTAGAATAGAAAGAATCATGTTACATTTCCCCTAAATAACCGTAAAATATGTAAAATAAAATGAAAAAACAGCCCCCCAGGAGCTAAACCCGCATCTAAAGGGCTCAAACCCCAAAAAGTCTGGAGTGTTGGACCGGAAAACAGATAAAAAATACAGATAAATCCAGCAGAACCTCTATAACAGAGTCTAACTGGTTCCAGGACCAACTTCTATTCTAAATTATTGGTTTGTTGGTTCAAATCTTCCATCAGAATACTCTGTAATTCCTAGAATTGGTTCCAAAAACTTACGAATACTCCTTAATAAATACTGCAGATAATTACACATAGCAAGAAAACAAATGACTTCTAGAAGAGAGATGGAAAAATAAATAAATGATAAAGAAATAATCAGTAAAAAGGGTTTTTATTGTTGCAACTCAGATTATTTATGGTTTATATTTTATATTTTTTCTAGGACTTCGACATCATTGGAAATTTACTTTGGGTGTTGAGTCGAATATTTGATCGAATTTCACTTCGGATGTATGAAAATTGGACAAAATTGGTTATTTATGTCTAAATATTCTTCACCCGAGTTATTCAAAAGTTTCATTTGATGTCTAAAAAGAAATAAATGATAAAGAAATAATCAATAAAAAGGGTTTTTATTGGCCCTTTAGCTCAGAGACTGAAGAACGGAGGTAACTCACTCTGACTTTATACAGGAACTTTAAACAAAAGTCGTATATTTGATTGAATTTCTCTTTGGATGTTGGAAAATTGGACAAAATTGGTTATTTATGTCTAAATATTCTTCATTCGAGTCATTCAAAAGTTCCATTTGATGTCTAAAAAGAAATAAATGATAAAGAAATAATCAATAAAAAGGGTTTGTATTGGCCCTTTAGCTCAGAGACTGAAGAACAGAGGTAACTCACTCTGACTTTAAACAAAAGTCGAATATTTGATTGAATTTCTCTTCGGATGTTGGAAAATTCGTACATTTAGGCGATGATGATTAGAGATTCTGCTGTATT